GTATTAGTACACTTCACTGTGGTGTCTGAACACCTAAAATGGTGAGGAGAGATTACAATCATGCATTTCTTGTGTACAGAACAGCCACTTGAGCTTGCTATCTGAGAAGAAGCCTTGTAGGCTATTTATACACTAGGGCTACGTCTACAATGGCAACTTCTTGAGCAAGAACTCTTTTGCGGAAGAGTTCTTGTGCAAAAACTCTTCCAGAAGAGAGCATCTACACTGGCATGTGCTTTTGCGCAAGAGATGCGCTTTTGTGCAAGAGCATCCATGCCAGTGTAGACCCTCTCTTGCACAAGAAAGCTCTAATAGCCATTTTAACCATAAGGCTTTCTTGTGCAAGAAATTCATGTTGCCTGTCTACACTGGTCTCTTGCGCAAGAACAGTTGAGCAAAAGGGCTTATTCCTGAGCGGGAGCGTCAGAGTTCTGGCGCAAGAAACCCTGATTTCATAAATTAGAATGTCAGTTTACTTGCTCAAGAACACGCGGCCAGTGTAGACAGGCAGCAGGTTTTTGCACAAGAGTGGCCGCTTTTGTGCAAGATCGCACCAGTGTAAACACAGCTTTGGTAAAAATGGAAGAAACTACAGTTTAGGGCCTTGATACAATTGGTTTGTTTCAATGCCACATAGCAGACCTAGGCCCATCTAATTCTCATTTTCTAGGACAACCAAATGGTGGAAGTCAAAGGTGCAGGCTTTGAGAAGAAGGGGAAGGAGGTGCAAGCCTACCATTCTGCTAGCATGATAGGTCAGAATATTTTGGGCATGGCATTTCTGTGACATACGCTCTCTTAAAGACAAAACATTTTGTGGCGATTTATTGAAAAGGGGAATTTTGTTTTGTTTTTGGTTGTTTTGAGGGAGCAAGACTCTCCCAAATCCTGTTAGGGACCATGAATTTTAGACCATGGCTCACAGGGTTCTTAAGAAGCTTCAGGGGGTAGCCGAGTTAGTCTGTTACAAAAAAAAAAAAAAAAAGAGAGTCTATTAGCACTTTATAGACTAACAAAACATGTTGATGGTATCATGAGCTTTCTTGGGTACTGCCCACTTCTTCAGATGACCAGAGCTAAGAACTAGGCTGCCCCAACCTGCTGTCCTGGAACCTACTATAAGCTACTAAAATAGCAGCTGAATTCTAGCTCTTAACTCTGATTGGTGGAACTCTGGCAGGGTGGGGGGGAGGAGGGGAAGGGTTCTGAAGAGGTCCCAGCTTCAAGTTAATGCAAGCACAGGAACAGAAAGTTTTCCATGCAACTGTGTTGTGCCTGCTCAGAGCTGCTTCTCTTGCAATACCTGTTCCTGCTACTAATCTCCCAGTAATTTAACCCTGCCTGCCTTCTGATACCTGGTTTGCTCTCTGGCCTGGGATACAACCCAGCCTGCCTCCCAAACCACTAAGTTGGATTGCCCACATCCTGGTTGTGACAAGTCTCTTCTGAGCCTGAAGCAGAATAATCTGGGATGAAAAACTGTGCCCTGATCAGGCAGATTAGGGATTTGAACCTGGATCTCCACCAATTGTCCAACCAGCAGCTGATAGCATGCATACATGTATGTATATACACACACTTACCCAACATTATTTCATTTTAGAAAAAATGTTGAAAAATGTGGTTTTATTCTTATGTGGAAAAGAAAATTTTGAAAACCCAAAAGCTGATGCAAAATGGAATTATCCTTCATTCAATGCCAGTTTCATTAGTGCCAGAAAATGCTACGCTTATATTTACCTCCAAGGAAGACTGATAGGTATGATCTCTCAGAAGAGAGGTGACAACAACAGTGATGGTAGAGGCATGTTGTAGGGGCAAAACCAGGTTTAAAATATTTTCTGAATGGTGAGGAGTTACTCTGGAGTCAAACTCAGTGGCTGTGATTAAAATTAGTTCATACTATAAATGGAAAATGGGTATAATCATAAAACCAACAGAGGAGGACATTACATTTTTGCTCTAAAGAAATGTGATATTAGAAGTACTTAAAACCCCAGCGATTTTATAGACAACAAAACCAACCACCGTCATTTTTAAAAACTGCACAGTATAATTTTGTAAGACAAATCGCTGAGCAATTTCAGCTTTGTACATTTTTTTCATTAAAACATACAGTAAGAACAAAATAATGCAAGTCTAGGTTTGTACTCATTTCCAGAAAATAGACTCATTTTGACAAACAATGTATTGAGTGGAAATAAATCTTGCAACACATTGATTACTTCAGAACAAATACATATCAGGTCACTACAGTCCTATACATTGTACTTAGCTGTCAACAGCCAATTCATCTGTTCTGTAGCCACTGCACTTCATTTACAATGTGTAACAGCATACAGATAGTAAGATGCCTAAAGCATGTACATAAAGATAAAATGTTACAAAACATTTGTCAAGTAAAATACATATGCAAGTCATCTCTAATATTTACAACAATGTCTTAAATTACAGGATCATTCAGAAGGCATCTCTCAAATACAAATTCCACAGACATAAAAAAAGAAAGGCAGTCAATAAAAGATACTATATTTGTTATGGCTAAGAACCTTTGGCTCATAAACTCCAAGTTATGATGATTTAAAAAATAATGAAATGTGGAATATTTGTGTATTCTATCTTTTTAAACTTATTCACTGCTTTTCACTGTTAAAAATCAAAGTGAAATTCAGCATGGCAAAAGTCATTTGTAAAACAATCTTGTTTTGAGTAAGATCAAAACTCTTAGATGCAGTTATGTTTTGGCATTATCCTACCCAATGGAATCACATTCAAGGAAGATTGTTTCAATGCTTGTCACACAGAAAGTCTGAGGTTGTCTGCTCAATAGGTAATAAGGAAGGCTCTTCCCAGGCTGCACTTTACCTAAATGAGGCACAGCTGTATGTAAATGTTGCACTGAATAGAACAGGGAAAAAATTAAAGCAAAGTGAGGTAAAATTAATAACTATTGAATTCTGATTTTTATATTGATATGCTAATAAAAAGCCATTTCAACAGGAGCAGGACAATGACAGTTCTTTTCAAGGTAAATTTTGATAAACTACTAGCTATTTACTTTGCAACTGTACTTCCATGAAGATTATGTAATCATGCTGAACTTCTTGGTTAACAGATGCTTTGATTGTTGGATAATGTAACTTAGTGTTTACCTATGTTATCTTCAAAATGCTGTGATGGAATCTCCCTTTCACCCATTTTGTGGTATTTCACTGATCATCCTGCCATCAAGTAAGCACATTCTTAGACCACAGGGCTGTGTCTAGACTGGCATGATTTTCCGCAAATGCTTTTAACGGAAAAGTTTTTCCGTTAAAAGCATTTACGGAAAAGAGCGTCTAGATTGGCACGGATGCTTTTGCGCAAAAGCACTTTTTGCGGAAAAGCGTCCGTGCCAATATAGATGCGGTTTTGCTCAAGAAAGCCTTGATCGCCATTTTCGCCATTGGGGCTTTTTTGCACAAAACAGTTTTTAGCTGTCTATACTGGCCCTCTTGCGCAAATACATTTGCGCAAGAGGGCTTTTTCCCGAACGGGAGCAGCATAGTATTTGCACAAGAACACTGACAATCTTACATTAGATCGTCAGTGTTCTTGTGCAAATTCAAGCGGCCAGTGTAGACAGCTGGCAAGTTTTTTTTGTGGAAAAACTTGCCAGTCTAGGCGCAGTCCAGATGTATAAATTAGCCAATAAAATCAACAAACATGCCATATGGATCTTTTCCTCTACACCTGATGCAAGATTAGGCTTCATGAAAAGACACACATAAAATGGCAAATAATTCAGATTCATATGTAATATATTATACATACAACCTTTCCTGAATAATCTGCATAATGAAATATTTTGCCTTGCATCTCATTGAAATGAATGAGGTGCTCCTGAAGAAAGGAACTTGTGCACCCAAAAGCACATTCAAACCTTTGTCTTCATTCCCAAGGCTAAGACAAGAACACTGCTGTGAAAGGAATAGCCTATGCGGCTATTCACATGCGAAGTAAATACATTCATAAATCTACTTTGCTTTCCAGAATTGCCACAGGAACTCTCTTTTTGGAGTGGAATAAGTATTACCTAAAACAGTGGTTCCCAAACAGTGGTCCACAGACTCCTGGTGGTCTGCAACAGTACTGCGGGAGGGGGAAGGGGATCTATGGAAAGTTTAAAAATAAGGATCAGGCCCACTACAGTGGACCCAATCCTTACTTTTCTTTTCCTTTCTTTAATTTACCTTTCTTCTTTTTTTTTCCTCCTCCAGGGAGAGGGGGGCATGCAATTTTAATAGATTGAAAAGGGGTCTGTGTGCTCGAAAAGATTGGGAACGACTGATCTAAGTCAAGAGTGTAACCATGGACGTGCCTCTCAAACTCTTTAGGCTTATGCCAGCATGGTATAAAAAGCTAGCTGGGACAAGAAACAGCTGGTTGTACAATGTAGCCCAAGATTCTTTTCCTGTGTCTTAAGGCAAAACTTTCCAAATGTGTGTGGTAAAGTTCTGACTTCAAAAATGCCTGCATACCTGCTGCATGTGCATAGCTTGCATTTGTACAGCAGAATTGGACAACTGTGCAGACAAATGGCTATTGAGAAATACTACATGGCTACCCATTTTAGCGAGAGCACAATTTTATGTGCCTTCATCTGGAAATACAGTCTTTATACTTACATTAAACATTCAGAATTATTTAAAAAAAAATCTGAAAGGAAGTGGCTCATTTTACACAAGACATTTAAATCAACAAAACACCCAGCATGTTCTCTCCTGGACTTCCCTCCACACTTCTTTTTCCACGTTGGATCATTGCTCAGAAGAAAATGCCTGTGATCCATTTGATCTGCCATGAAGTAGTTCTCAAACTGAAATTTCACCCCACCAATAAATTATGAAAAAAGTACAAGCACTAAGGTTCATTACACACTGGAAAGTTCAGTTCAGCATCAGCAGAACTTTGCAGTTATTGCTGAGCTATATACAAAAGGCATTTCGAATGTACAGTTCTCAATGACAAATTATACAAAAGGCATTTCGAATGTACAGTTCTCAATGCATCACTTAGTTAAAACGACTTGCTAGTAAAAGGTCAGGTATGTGTCTATCAAAAACTGAAGTGCAAGTTTTTTTTAAACACAACTACTGACAAACATTTATTCATGTGCATCATTAGTGAGCTTGCTCATGCATTGTAGAAGCTACTGTTATTAAATTATTTTACACTCCAACTTTTGGACTCCACATGTAAAAATAGAGAGTTACAACAGCAGACTTTAAAATAAGGCTTTTTACAATGTCTGTAAGATACCTGCCTGTTAACCCATTATTCATTCTTCATTTATTTTTACATATCCATGGCAAAGAAGGCTGAGTTAATTTGTCAAAGAACACTTTTGGAACTTCTTTTATTATTAGATCATTCTTCTAATCAGCAGCATAGGACTCTTATAATGGTAAAATATATGAAATAAATCCTTTGCAAACCAATGCTGAAACCTATGGTGCCTCTCCCTCCATACTTGTTAATTATTACACATGGCAATTGAGAAAAATGACCAGTGCTGCCAGTTCTAAAACCTATTTTCTCATGCGTTTTATAAAGGTATTTTTTTCAAATCAACTTCATGTCACAGGCAAAGCAAAATAGGGCAGTGCAAACATATACTACAGATTCTGGCCAGAGCTGACCTCAGCGCAAAATAAAAGTCATCCTTCAACAGAAACTGATGGGTCTCAAAGCCAACTTTGGCTTCCATCAAATGCTTTTGTCCATACTGGTGCCATCTTCTCTAATATTTTGAAGCAATAAAAAACCCACAGTCACTTGACTGATGTGTAAGAGGCTTCGCATCAAAGACAGCTTCAGGAATTTGATGGAAACTTTTGTTACAGTTCATACACTTTCCAAATAAAGTTGCACGAAAAAGTGTGAATTACATAACCAAAGCTCATTAGTGCCAGAAGACTCTCGTGGTTCCTTAACTTTGCATTTTTATGTGTTCACATTATTTGCATTTGTTTAAAAATAAAACACTTTGATTTTTATACAGAAACACAGTCATATTGGAATTACAGAGAAGAGCCTTACAGGATAGGAAGCCTAGGCAAGAAATGAAATGTATTTGGAAGTGCATATATGCATGCAACATGGTACCTCGGGTGGAAAGAATCATTCAGTGGGTCTGGTTTTTCCTCTTTCCATTCCTCATAAGCAATAAATACATAAATCCTTGCAGTCTTTTTTTGTTCCTTTTTCCATAGTATGAAGTAAAAAAATTGTCTGTTCTAATCTAGAAGATAAGGCCTTGTGGGTCTTCCTATTGCCATTTGGCAAATGTACAGAAACAGTGGAAAAGACAGAAAGTGTTGAGATCCACTAGTTTCTGCATCCCCATCAAGTTAAATCATCTGATCCTGATGGATGACCCCTGCTCAGTGATAGAAACAAAGGAGAAAATTCCCCTAAAATTCCTTGCCAATATGCCCTGAGGGAAGAATTTTTTTCTACTCCTAAATTTGGCCCTCAATTCATTATTAAAGAAAAATAAATTTTAGAAGACTTTATTAAAGAGAGATTAGATGCCGCTACTATAGAATAATAGCAATTTGCCTTCATCACCAAGTGATGTATTCCTCATTAGCAATGCTTATTGACATGTGTCAACATTTAATTCAGAACCATCTGGATTCTTCATCATATAACCTTATGAACTTAGCTTTCCTTCTAGACTATGTTCTGGACTCAGGTGGAGCCTAAGTCTGTTTAAAAGAGAGGATTCGCAGTTTTCTAGCTCAAGCATGTTCAGTTGCATCCCAAAGGTTCTTCTCAAGAAGACAGCTCTCCTTCAGCCAGCCAACGACCTTCCAATAACTCTCACCCTCTCATTTCTTGAATGGGGTAAGTTTGTTGAAGGTGTGCCAGAAAAGGGATGGCTTTCGTTTGGGCTCTGCCAGAGCAAAGACCTGCTGCTGTGGAATGCTGGTGGGCACAGTGATGTGGCGTTGATGAATTGGATGTAAACTCTGGTGTAGAGGGGGCATCGGACATCCATTATAACTTATACCTGGAGATGGAAAAAATTAAGAATGTGTGAATCAAATGGCAAAGTAATCAACCTGGAGAAAATTCATAGAGCATATGGGACAAATGTAACTCTCAATAAAGTCTGATTCTTGCCATCATATTCAACAGCAGTAGATCAGATCTCACCATATCTGACTTTCCATGTTTCCATTTTGGTCTTAATTCTGATTAGGTAAAAAAAACCCAAATAATTGTATGACCTCAAAACTTTACAGTATTATCTAGAAAATCAGCATTAGTTTCACAAAATCAGGCAACAGCTGCAGGAACATCCTGCTTTTCAGAGGAAAGAAGGCTAATCTAGCAGACACTGCCTTTTTAAGCAATAGCTGGGAAAGATTGTGTAAAATGTTCCTACTGGTGAAGAAAAGGCACCTTGGAGCAGAATTTTTTTTCCAACATAATGTTCTCAGAGACTGTCATTTGACTACTGTGATCACAATCACCTGATCAATGTTTTACAACCAATGCTGTGAAAATCTGGCCAAATTTGTAACATACCATTCACTCATATCTACTGAGTGATAGGCATGTTTACATATTAATGTGCCTATAAGAATCTTTCACAATTGTAGATCAAAAAAGTTGACATTGAACAAAGACAAAAGTCATGCCTCTTCCATTCTTCCAGAACAGCACCTCTAACCAACTTCTTACTCAGACCCAGTCTGACTCCCAGATGCTAAACTCATCCACTCAACGCATCAAAAAGTGAACAAAATCTCTCGTCTCTCACACACATAAACGCGCACAAAATCATTTAGAATTTTCTGCTTTGAATACAACAAAATTTATATTCAAAGAATATTTTAGATCACATTGTAGAATTCTAGAGGACTTGAGTGCAAGAGTCTGAACATGGGAATGGAACCAGGGTTTCCATTCTTCAGTTTCTAATCCCATCTAAGCCTCTGACACACCTTTTGTACCTTTAGGTAAATCTCTCAATTTCTCTGTTTAAGTCATTTTTTTGCCTATTTGAAGGAGTTTGTAAAGATTATTTAGTAAATTATTTATTAAGGGCTTTGAAGAGGAAATATGCGCTAAATAATATCACTTTAGAAAGTCTACCCTAAAAGAGATTTGTAAAGGATCAAAGATTATATTTGAATGTTATTTCCTATCATAAATTTAAATACTGAACTATTAATCTGTATATTAAAAACTTACAATAGTACTTAAATACTCACCTTTAATTTTTCCATGCCTTGACTTTCTGGCATTTTGCATGGCTTGTTTCTTTTGATTTTCTGAGATTTCCATTCCTGGATTATAAAATACATGAGAGTCTCAGTATTAAGATACTTGATCTGCTATTTGATAACAGTAAATTAAAAAATATTTGAGCAAACACTTTCAAAATGGAACTTTAGTGATTTTTAAATAATTCTGAATAATAATGTGCCATATGCTTTGAGAAATATAGGTCCAAATTCTACTGTTTCACCAGTTTAATTCTGGCATTTTATTGACAAAACATGTATTGTACTAATTTGGTCCTTTGATCACAAATTGATGCCAGCTAGGACTAAATTAACATATGGTTTTCATTATCTCCAGTTAGCGGTCACTGGACAACTGACTAGCTACATGCCATTTTACAACTTGGACAGCTACATCAGAGATGATACAGCAAACTAATACCTAGGAAGATTACGGGGGGCAACTGATTCACAAACCAAGTTAGTAGATTGCAAGGAGATATAAATACAAGGCTTGATTCTTTTCTCACTCACACTGGGGTAAACCAGGGATAACCAAATGAAACCAATAGAACTATACAGGTGTAAAACTGGTAAGAGAAAGCAAGGTCACAGTATGTATGGACATAATCCTGCTTGTGTTCTGTAAAATAACACTGTACCAATTTCCCTCAGACCAACACTCCAATATTTGCTATTTCTGTATTGACAGTATTTGTGTTACACATTTTATTTATTTTGATCCAAAATTAATAAAGATGTTTTAATTTTAAAAGTTCCTCTAAGAACATGAATTAATTTCAAACTACAACACTGAAAGCTGGTATTTTACAAAACTTAATGTCTTCAAATTGATCAAACCAGGTGGTGTTTTCTTTTAACTGTTGTAACTTTCTTTGGTGTGTTATGGATGTCAGTGTAGTGAGGGATATTAAACACACTTGCTTATACTTAGATGAGTAGTGTCATGTTACATGATATCATGGTTCAATCTAACAATTTACTGTAATGTACCAGTGCAAAGTGTATAAGGGAATTTCAATGTGGCAGAGAGAGTCTGGTTCGTAGGAGGACAGGCTCCTAATATTAATGTAGCTAGAGGAATTTTACCTTACATCTACTAGACAATGTTTTTGGAATTCAAGTACGGATATTCTAGTTTCAGCTCCCTGTGTTGAGATTCATCTAGTAACTGAGCATGCTGTTGCAGCACCTGAATGTGTTTTATATTAGCATTATATTAATATAATCATATTAGCATGACTAAAAAGTTGCATGTGGGGTGCTTCTCATTTCATTCACCTACATACAATGGACTGCAAAGTGCTGCAATCCAAAGCCAGGTGGCCCAATAAAACAGCCACTTGGATTGCATTCTGCTCCGTCATTCACACTTTTCAATTATTTTGAATTTCCTGTACTTTTTGGCCTGTGTTCATGGAGGAGTTACTTCCCTCGGGTGTTTTTAATATAATCCTGCCACACTTTTTCAGTTACTGGATATTCATTTTATTTCATTTGTAATTATTCAATTCTCTTTTCCCCTCCTGGAGACAAAACAACAGCCAAAGAAAATCAAAAAGTAGGAAGCAGACTGTTTCTTAGGTCTACTATTAGTGGTTTTGGAAAAAAAGATTGCTGGCTCTGGCCTGTTCCCAGCACACACTCATAATAGCTCAGAAGAGCTCAATATGGTTTGGGAGACTCTGGCCTCTACCGAAATGTCTTTGAAAACAGAACTAGTCATTCAAGCTTTAGAATTTGCAGGGTGAATTATTTGTTCCTAGAAGAGTGAAATTAGAGACTTCATCTGAATTCCAGCATGAAAAATTACAAAATCAAAAAAGATGCTTCCACTAGCTTGGCTAAAGAATAGCGTTCATCTGTGCCAAAAAAGTGAAATTTTAGAAAACAAAATTTTCTAGGTAATGGAGAAGAGATCTAAGCCACAGAGACTCACAAAGGCATATCAACTTAAATTAAGTGGTTCTGGACGTTAAATTCAAAACATCCCTTTTATAGCATGATACATCTATATAATGTGGCATACTGGTAGGTCTGAACCATAAAAGCTATAACGAGGGAGTGGGAGGTACAGGGGGCAAGGCCTCATCAGTTTTATAAGTAGGAAGGCTTTATCTTTCTGCTTTTTACCTGCTTTAAGCATGAGCAATTAGGGGAGGGACCTCAGGGGAAGAGACAAAGCGCAAGTGAGGCCATCTTTTTGGATGCTTGTGCTCTTACCTAAAACTTTTAGGGAGCTTCTAGTGCTTCTGGTCTAAACAAGCATTTGAAATTTTTAAAGGATATTTTACAGCAGATTCCAAAGGATATTCCACCCATATATGCAGTGACATAAAAGCTGAATTTTATGTATCTATGTAGCCAGACAGCCCTCCCCCCCCATCTCAAACAATCTTGCTTGCCCTCTGAGATGTCTGTATACAGGGCAGAGAAGGAACAAACTGAGCTCGAGGCTGCAAGAAGTGCCCGGCTGGCACCCATGTTGATTCGAACACACACAGTCCCTGGGAGAGGAATTTCCCACTGAGAAAAAGAATGTCCAGTACTTCCAATTTAATCCTCTCAACTCTCTCTTACAAGTGTAAATTAAGTTCACAACTCCCTTGTAAGAACTGGTCTCACAAAAGACAGACCAGCACCATTTGGCATTACAGATAAGAAAGAGAAATACGTGACCCAATGGGTATATAAGTGGGTACAGCAGCGCACTCACTTTTGAGTGTAAATCTGCCCTCTACCTGCTGGTCAGGTTAGGTGTTTGACCTCCTGAGGTTCCACGGGGACGCCCACCTCGTATTTTCGTCTTTCCGAGGAATTGAGGGACCGATCCTGGCCTGACAAGCTGGGACGCAGAAGGGGGTAAAAATTGTACCTGTATGTGTCCTTTTGTTATAGTGCATGCATAGAATAGAGCTCTTTAAAGATTAAGCTGTCATTTGGTACCATTATTTTCTATTTCCTATCTTTATCTTCTTTGTAACCATTTTTTTTCTCTCTATATCTATATATATATTTGTCAGCAGTTAAGTGGCTGGATCCAATACGGCAAATCCCTGTGTCCCTTCTGGTGCCGTGCTAGAGAGAGTCACATCTCATGCTTCAGGGTGTTGGCCATTCTCTGTAGCGGTCAGGAAGGAATCCGTTCCCATCTCTGCCATGTATTGGTCCCCGGGAGTGTTTTTTTGTTGTCTGCATTGCTCCATGCACAGACCCTGCCTGAAGGGAGAACACCAGACTTTTGATTAGTCCAGGGGTGGGCAAAAGGGCCTCCGCAGGCCAGATCCGGCCTGCAAAGCAGGTTGATTTGGCCTGCAGAGATCCTGCTACTACCCTGCCCCCAGGCCAATCCGGGCCTAGGTACAGGGGAGCGCATGGCACTTAAGAGTCAACCCTGGTGGCTGACTCTAAGCGCTGCGCACCAGATCTAGCATTATAGAAAATATATTTTCTTATAATTCTGTTCTTTTGTTTGCTATACTAATTAATGTTTGCACAATGTTTTGTAGATATAAAGCTCTTTGGGCCCCATCTTGCACTGCTTGCATTGAACAGAAGGGAAATTTTGGGACTGCAAGATATGTATTAGCAAGCCTTCTATATTATTGTTATTGTCATTGTTATAGTGCCACTGACACAGCTTTGTTTTCATGAGATTATTCAGGCAAATTTAACATACAAAATAAAAAAAATTCAGGGACATGGCTGCTGCAACTTTCCTTAAAATAGTATTCCTCAGTCTTATTCGTCTCAAGATTTTTTATGTTGCAACATTACTTTTGGAGGAAGGTATAGTGCCCTATCACTCACATATTTTCTTCTTCCAAACTTCCTCTCCCAAAATCAGAGTTTTTGGCAAAACTATACCAGTAACAGCAGGCATCAGTATTGTGTGGGTCCCCTGGTATGCACTTCAAAATCCTCAAAATATGTACAATTTGCACTGAATAAGTTGAATGAAGTAATATCTCTTGCTAAACTAAAGTCTGCTTGGTGAGAAACAAGCTTTTGAAAACTCATTTGTTTTTTACCCCCCAGGAGTTGGTCCAATAAAAGAGAACTAGCGGTCACCAAATGTCATTAATAGGTAGCAGGTTTAAAACAAACAAATGGATGTTTTTCTTGATGTAGTGCACAGTCAACCCGTGGAACTCCTTGCCAGAGGATATTGTGATGACCAGGACTTTAACAAGGTTAAAAAATGCATTCATGGAGGCTAGGTCCTTCAATGACTATTAGCCAGGATGGGTAGGAATGGTGTCCCTAGCCTCTGTCTGTCAGAGGCTGGAAATGGATGACAGGGATGATGATAATGATTACCTGTTCTGTTCACTCCCTCTGGGGCATCTGGAATTGGCCACTGTCGGCAGACAGAACACTGGGCTAGATGGACCTTTGGTCTGACCCAGTACGCCATTCTTATGTTCTTATATTATTTCTCCCTCTTTGTCTCTTTAATACACAGGGACTGACATGGTAAGGGCATAAACATTTGGGCTGTCCTGCATACTCTCTTGCTTCTATTTCTGTGGAACTTTCAGAAAAGAACTGCTTCAACAGCAAAGAGCTCAGATCCTGGCTCATAAAGCTAAAGTGGAGGACCTAACTGAACCGTAGAAAGGTCCAAAGATGGACAAAGATTTGCTGTTAATCTCCTTCTGCCCAGTCCAATTCACAAATCCCTAAGTGAAATGTAGCCATTCATCAGGGTTAATGGAGCTGAGGCCCATCACAAATTTGGAAATTAAGTGAGGGCAAAGGATGTGGATGTTGCATTTGTTTTGTAAATAAGAGGTCTTTTGCTTTGCCCTTCTATGTGACAGTCTACTAACTATTAGGACAGTCCGTCTTACTGTATGGCAGGATGGGCTAGGTTGAGTCAGTTTGTTTGATAAATGGGTCTCCAAATGCATTACATAGTTCTCTATTTCCCAGTCAGCCATCCTGCCACAACACACAGGTTAGTTTAGAATTCTGCTGCAGATGGGCCCGGCAGCGATAAGTGTGTGCATGAGTGGTGTGTGCACTCTGTGTAGAAACAGCTCCAGAAAGTAATGGCCAGGATGTCCAATGGCAGTGTCGGCTCCCACGGCAGATCAAGGTAAAATAGGGAAACTAATTTGCATGGTGATTTGGGGGAGCTTAGTTGTCTCAGCTCCATCATTTACTTTGGGTACCAGTTGACCTTGGCTACTTGTAACAAATGGTCCATCGGGGAGAGCTAAGGCAGGTGTTGGAATATCTCTGGGATTTTTTTCCCTCCTACTGTTGCCTTGGGAATGTAAAAATCAGTTTTATGTTTTCTATTACAACTATCCTCTTTTATGTCTGTCTCTTCTCAGTGCTATTCTAATGAAGCTGTAATGACCAATATTAAAATGTGAAACAAGCATAATTTAAAATTAAAATCCCAAATGCACATTTACACGGGATACATTTTGGCCCAAAGCTGGCCCTAGGATTTGCAAGGCCCTATCTAATGTAAGACAGGCAGGGTCCTACCCATTCTCATCCTCACCTATAAATCCTTTCTGCCTCTGTAACTTTGCTGGGGGTGCTATTACTTGAACTGTTTCTAATGTGCACACGCCAGGCTCTCGGACACATTGGTTTCCTACATAGGTTACACAGACCTGCTTGGCTTAATAATAAAAATGTTCTTTAGAAAAGTGATTACCAGCCACTGGTTCACATATAAGATCCAGTCTATGCTAAAAAGATAGGCCAGCTACATTGCTCAAGGGTGTGAAAAATCCACAGGTTGCTTCTTGGGAAGGTGGATTAACTACACCCACAGGGGAATCTCTCCTGTCAGCGTAGTAGGGGATGTCTCCACTGAAGTACTACAGCAGTTCAGGTGCAATGCTGTGGGGGTAGTGTTTCTCCCGTAAACAAGCCCTCAGCACTAGTATGCTTTTACTGGTTGTTTTTACATCAGCCCCATGTCAAGTTTAACCATTAACAGTAACCCATAAACATCAGTTTATCAGTTAACCAGTTAACAGGTTAAACCCCTACATTCCTAATCGCGAGGTGAATTTGCTCACATATCTGAAGCCATGGAAGGCACCAATATCCCAGCAGAAATATGTGAGGCTCTGCTATGCAATGAAAGGCATCTTGAGGGATTCCACCTCCTCCATGCACCAGAGGTCAGCTACATAGGGCCTCTTGCAGCATACCTGCTCTGGGAGGACTAGCAGGAGAGCAGGGGAAGGGCACAGAATGGGAATTAAGGAGCTACAGCAGATCTAGGTCTGTAAAAGTGTCTGTGGGGCAGTTTAAAAGCTGCTCCATGACCAAATAACGAATACTCCTTCCCCCATTGCAGTACAAAGGTTTTCAGCAGGGGACAGATTTTTGCTGTTGATGAGAAAACTCTGCTACCCTCACCCTGCATTCTGCTCTTTGTGTTGTGCAACATACAGGCAGTCCCCGGGTTATGTCAGTCCGACTTAAGTCGGACCCCTAGTTATGAACCGGGGGGGCTGCTCCATGACCAAATAACGAATACTCCTTCCCCCATTGCAGTACAAAGGTTTTCAGCAGGGGACAGATTTTTGCTGTTGATGAGAAAACTCTGCTACCCTCACCCTGCATTCTGCTCTTTGTGTTGTGCAACATACAGGCAGTCCCCGGGTTATGTCAGTCCGACTTAAGTCGGACCCCTAGTTATGAACCGGGGGGGG